TTTTGCGGCACTTCACGCCTATTGCATTTTTTGCTTCACTTATCGTGCATGTTATCAATGTTTTCTCTGAAGCATTCAATACGATCCGCATCCATCACAAGTCAAAAGTGTCCCGTATGGATTATTACCACCAGCATATAAAATATATGATTATTCTAGCACAATGACAATATTGCAAAAAATTTCAAGCTCTAGGCGCAAGTACAACGGCTAGTCGGGAGCAAAATATTCCGACAATTAGGAGAGCTTCTTAAACCTAATGATACCCTCTTCTTTAAGTGATATATTTTATAAATACGTACAAGGAGTGCAAGAGATATTAGTTTTTATGCATATCTTCTGTAAAACATACTTGAATTTGTAACGTCATCGTTAAGCAGTGAGACGAACCTTGGCACCTAAGTAGTTATGTTAAAACATGCGGATTTTTAGGCGGCTGAAATGAAGCACACTACAACGGCGTCATGCCGCTTCTAAAACAACTGTAATTTTTGCCATTTAAAACGCCAATTCTACTCCAAATATCGCCCACTCCCAATGGACACTACTATGAGGTGACAACAGTGCTACAACCGCAGTCGATAACAGAGGTAGTGGCTGATGACGGCTAATAAACCAGAAACGACCATCCCGATCTCCCTTATCTTTGTCGGTATGAATCCATCTACAGCTCCCAGCACGTTCATCATCACCAACCGCCAAACCAAAACAACAACATCCCTATCATGAAGGGAATTTTTCTCGACTCAGAACTAGGGCTGCCACCACGTTCTTCATCATCATCGCCATCATTATCAACACGATCAACAGCATCGAAAAAAAATTTTCTCATGGTATATCGAGCTTACTTAACTCAGATTTTACTATTTTTATAGCACTGCGTCTACACTGACTACTACAGAATCCGCTTATACCATGAAATATGTTTTAAAGATCTCGAGTTTTCTTTATAAGCATGCATTGCACAGTATCTAAATGCCGAACTAACAAGAAGGACAGGAATAAATTTAAGCTTGTCATTTAGGATGACTGTCTACAGTCTGAATCTGCATAACAAGGCTTCCCTCTCGGCTAGGCTGAGTATAAAGCAATCAAGAGCGCCTTTAAAGCAGAAAGAGACCCCATGATCACAGGCAAAGCGCCGTCCATGCCAGTGCTTATCGGCAGAATCTGATTTTTTGGTATCCAGCACACACGTGCTTGTGATGATCTGTATAAAAATGGGGGTCGTTTAAGGAGAATTACCAATTAAAGTTCAACTTGCAGATCACTGGAAATTTTAGAGGACTTAATTCCTATTACAGTTACTGACATGAACTCACAACAGGATCTGCGAGAATGTGTTTTTAGTTTAGATGTCGTAAAGGGGCAAGATTACCAAAAGGAGTCATTGTGTTTAATAGTTTTTTTAACAGTTGCGATGTATTTCTACCTCATTATGCAAGCGATAAACATATTTGCTAAAACAAATGATATTTTTCAACAGCTGCCACCACCGATTCAGCTTGACACCAAAATTTTTCGTAGTCGCGACTTGTCGCGAACATCACCCTGTCCCGACTTACTTTTTTGACTACGAAACAGCTCATTTGATGCCCGATGATGGCCTCATGTATGAGACGGAAAGCGGAGCCTAATGCATGTACTGTCTCATTGATTGCGCGTTCATATACTTATTTTAATGTATTTCAGTAAGTGCTTGTTACGACTGGCTGTTTACAGAGAAACCAGGTGCGGAGATCCAAGCAAAACCTAACTGCGCATTTCCAGCCTCCAATATATTTGACTTGAACCCTGTCGCACAGCCTAAATCAATGATCTGTTTGCCAATTTACTGGCTACTACTATCAGTGTTATTGCTGTTGAAAAGTGGGAAATGCAGTAGATCGTTCAAAAAGGTTTCATTCACCTGGCATTTCGGATTCTAACTTGAACCCATTTTGAGGAAGGCAAACGTGTAGCATTAGTGCGATCTAATTACTCCGGATCTCAGTCGGTGCTCATCCAACGGTACTCGACTACACCCGCAAATTCCTGGAGCCGACATTATCATATGAACTGACAAGTAGGAGCTCCGGAAGCTGCAGTAGTCATCTCCCGCGTGCGGCGAACAGCAGTGTCTTTAGTAAAACCTGCAGTTTTTGGAGGATATCCTTGTCCTCGGATGTGGACTTTAGTCTCATCAGTAGAGGAGATTAAGCGAGTTTCCAAAATCTGTTGACATGAAGGTGACTTAATTATTGGAATAATAGTTGCATTCTCCAGACGCGCCGACGAGCAAGCATGCACCGCACCAAATACAACCAGCCGAGATGAATGCTTGGGATGGCAATTTTGACAGGCGAATTGTTGCATAACAAATATATTTTACAAATACGACGACCTCTGCGCTTGCCGACTATGACGATGAATTCCGGCGCGATGCCAAACGCTAGGTTAACAACATTTTCGTTCGATTGATCCGGTTCATTGATGGCAATGTCAGCAGTCTGGCCTTGCCAAATTTCGAGGGGTCTTTACTGGCCTTTGGGAGGTTTTTCTAGGACCGAAAGGCAACCAGCCGACCCTTTGAACCTCTTACCCACCGAATCCGCGTGACCAGTTGTAGTCATGGTCTATCTCACATGCCAGCCGTCACTTGTTAATATGAATGAGGAAGATGAAGATTGACCGGGCACCTAGCCCATTTGCTTATTAATCTAGGCTTTCGAAGTCATCTATGTTCAGTGGCAACAGAAGAGGCGGTGCACGATGCGGACCATTAGATCATTTTTACAGCCGCCAACATGATTGCTTATTTCGCAAACAAGACAAGCTGAGGGTTGATTGGAGCCTCATCTTCTGATAAGAGTTCACTCAGTCGACATTGTGGACGGGCATCCGCATATGCAGCCCTGCGCAGCCACCCTCGGACCAGCAACACCTGTCGTTAATTAGCTAGTGAGCCATGTATTTGTTGTTTGCTTCGTAGCTGCTGTCAATCCTGAAAATTCAATGTTCTACGATTTCGAAAAACCAAGAAAATGAACAAAAGATTTCAACGTCCAGTCAGTTTCCTTTTCATGATTTCAAAAAGATGGCTTTAATAATAAGTATTGCCCACCCAAGGAGCTTTTGTCCATGTATGCATCTTCACACTACGAAGTAGAAAATGATTTGATGCCAGACTTGTAATTAAAGGATTTCACAGGTGGCTGACAGGCGGGCGATCGCTCATGGAAATTATTAATTTAAAAGTTAGGATTGGTACTGTGAACTCAAATGTACATTTCGTGTTGAGGAGGGGAGAGGAAACAGTTCATACTGATATCTGAATAAATGACCCACGAGTTAGCCAGGAGCGCCGTACATGCGAAAAGAAAACGGACAAAGCAATGCACAAGTTTTGTTGGACCTGGGCTAAACGGTAAACAAAGTTAAATTCCTGTCCGTGAAAGCAAGCAGTCTACGCTTGTTGGACACTCCAAGCGAAGAAACGCCAAGGCTGCAACTGCTGACTACTTCCAAATTTTCTATTAGAAATCGCCACTCCGCTACTGACTTCACTTAAGTAGGCATTGACCGGGTTGCAAGGAATTCGACCAACCAAGTTTAGAGTCTGGTCTCCCCCTGCGGTCGGTAAGTTATAAAATGACGGAAAGCCCCTTATGCGTGATTACCGTGCTCACAGCTCTGCAGACTCGTGATCTATTTTTAGGCTGGTTTTAGACGCGCAATGAAGACAGACGGCAAACCGCCCGCCAGAACGATATTTGCTGCTCCAAATGGTGATTAGCAGAGGGCTGGCTTGCATTTTTGCCCAAATTGTGTCTAGAACTAAGCATACGGTTGAATTAGAAGCATCTGCTAGCAGGAGGATTGCAGATTTTACTCTCTATCACAGGACAAAACTGCGCAGGACAGACAAGTAAGTAGGCATATTTGCGATTTAAGTGAATTTTTGTCCGTCGAATAATGTAAATGTCAACCCGAAAAAAAAACCAAGAACCGTAAACGGAAATCGGTAAATGGACACTCTATATGCACGCTACAAATTAATTGGACTTTCTGAAGTCGTAGAGGGGGAAGAGAGTCGAGAAAAAAGATACGCAAATAAAGAACATGTAAGAAGATGGAAAATAGCCAGCCTGAAAGCGTAGACATTTGCGTTCACATTTGTACCGACATCTGGACGCCAGATTGCACAGAATGCTGCAGACCTTTTGATGAACGGCGTCCTTTGCCTCCTTGGTGGGGGTTTTATTTAGTACGCAGATATTCCCCGGTCCTCCGGTCTAATGCAAACGACATTTTACAACTTCGAATCTCCTATCCCCCGTACCATACCAGTCTCTGTTTGGTATTTTGACTTTCGGAGATCCAGAACGTCATGCAACTTAGTTAAAATGCCGTCAGCTCAGCTACCTTTTTACTGATTCCCTCAGAATAGATCATCCAATTATGCTCGTCGAGAGTACTTTCCCGCGTAGACGAGCCGCCAATGGTGCATATTTTCTGATAAGGTAGGGTTGCTTACAGGGAATTCCAAACCCTCAGCATAATGGAAATATCATTACGGTAGAGGGTAGATAGTGAATATACGTGTGGGTAGATTGCGAAGAAAATACTCGGGTTTACCCAATTTAAATAACTGCACCCGATCTGAAACAAGTCATTTTTAAATAGGTGTTTTGGCTGATTTTGAATAAAGCATTATAACGCTGTTGTTGTGGGATTCGAGCACAAGACAGGAATAAGAGGTCTCAGTACAGCCATGTGAGTTACGAGGCCCTATCGGGAGCCGTGAGTTTAATCACATTTGGTTCAAACCTACTTTTCCCTAGACGCAAATTGTGCATGGACTTTCTTCTGTTTAAGGACTATAAAGGGCGCATATCTCGAGTTTGATTTTCCTTGTTTAGTTGTTATCGATGAGATTTAGTTGTGAGATCAGCAGTTTAGGTGCCAAAACTCTTTAAAAATTAAGAATTTCTAATGTGAGACCAATTGACATCTAAGAGTTACAGTGAGACGTTAAACTTACTAGCCAGCAGACTGAGAACATGACTGTTTCTCCCTACTTGACCACGACCATGACTACGACGAAAATTGTCATCATCATCATCATCATCATCATCATCATCATCATCATCATCATCATCATCATCATCATCATCATCATCTTCTTCTTCTTCTTCTTCTTCTTCTTCTTCTTCTTCTTCTTCATCATCATCAACAAAAACAACACCGACAACAACAACTTCGAGTAATGTCACTGCACAAGATTGCTGGACACCTTAATTAAATCACCCATTAGATGTTAATGTCCCCACTTGAAAAGAGGGTCTCAGCGACCATATGTCGCAGTCACTCTTGTGGCTGAGTAAACACACTTTTTTCAAGGCAGTTTGTCGCATCATCTTTTTCCAGGTAGGTATATGTTAGCTGAGTGCTAAGTGAAATATTTACGAGCAAACTCACCGAACGGCCTTTAGAAGACAGGACTTAAAATGACAAGTGTGAGAACGTGTGCATCTTACCCTCCTGGATTTCAAGGATTGTGCGTATCTGCCATATCATGATTCAGGAAACCATGGCCTTCGTAGCCTGGTGTACACTGGCAGTTCCCTGACATCTGGCTTCCTGCCGTAGATGCGTTTCCGTTGAGTATACACGCCTTGTGTACGATTGTCCAGCAACTTGTGCTATCCGTTTTTGTTTGGCTAAAATACTGCCCAAGTGTTTGCTGCGGACGACGGGGTGTGGTGTTGCGCCAAGGTGAGGGCCCGGCTGTGCCAGCCACTTGCGTTTTCCTCTACCTGTGGTCTTGACTATGTCTTGACACCAGGGTCGGCTGGGGAGGAGATAGTGCATTAGATGTTATCGAAGTCCACTTTCGCTATAAAGTAGTTCACATACAAGTCACCGTGCATGCTCTTACCTTGTTTTGGAGCACACGGCGGACCACCACGGTTGAACTGCCATAGGCAGAGTGTAAAAACTTGCAGTCGATCTGAAAGAGGTCGCGCACAATAGTTATGCGAATGCTAGGAAGGCTGTCCCATGAGAGAAGCATGTTCAGAGTCTGAAACCTCAAAGAACGCAGACTGATCCCAGTAAACGTGAGGCCAGTGTAAAAAAGAGCTGTCGAATCGTATTACGGGTGGGCGCGGGAATTCATTTCGCTATTCAGCTATCAGTACGTCTTATAGAAATGAGCAAGCCTTCCAGATCTCCACACTGAACATTGCCACTCTGGTAGCCTGTGAAGGAATACGGAAATAGAGACAGTGGTTGTTGTTTGTTGTCTTTTTTCAACTTAAGCTCAGGCGCTCACAGCTTCCCTTCCTGATGTTGACGGTGGCGTGCTTTAACAGTAATTATTTGTAGCACCCTTTCCTAGGTCCCTTCCTTGCTGGGGGCGAAGCAACGCTAACTCTAACCAGGGCTGTTTGTCATCCAAGACGACTGTAGAATTCTATTAAAGGCCACGAGTTTTGTTAAGTGCAAAAAAGGAATAAGATGGTCTGGGACCCCTAGAGAATCGCCTTTTGTTCTTTACATCTCTCTCTCTGTTTCTCTCTATAGTAGGTTATGCTTGTAGATAAGTCCTGGAACTACCGGCTGTGGAAGCATACACTCACTGAGACTTCGACAGCCGGTTTCGACGATGTCCACCGTGTGCTCCACAGCAGGGTGGGGAAGGGACGGTGACTTGCGCGGGGTTTATACGGTAAGTGGGCTAACCCATGAAATGTCAACCAAAATGCTTAAGTGCGTTCTCGTTCCGTAAAGATTAATTAAGAAGGGTTGTAAAACTAGTCAGCCTTCAAAATAATTCTATAATATTCAAGTTATCCGTTGATGCCGGCTTTCGACTGAATTTCTTTCAGGCCGCAGCCAAAAATTATATTCTGGAAAAAATGACTACGTATGTAGCATGAATTTTTCTCATTGATTTTCGATGCCCCTAAAAGTCCGATTATATTTCGGGGAAAATATGCGCAAAATATTCATTCTTTTGTTCATTCTGTAGACAATTACGTCTCCTTCCAATCGTATACTTAAAAGAAGGGTATAATTTAGTTTTAAAAAACTTGTTCAATCCCCGAATAATTTTGAACTCGCTGTACCGTCACACTTGGATTCAGGGTTTCCGAATAACAAGCCAGGTATTTTCCGCGTACGAAAAACCATACAATGGTCTACGGTAATAAAGGGAGTCCATATAGCGTTCATAAAATTTAGCAGTAACTTTAAGCCATATTGTTAGCTTTATAAGCCACTTTGGTTAACTGCAGAGAAGTGGCAATTTATGAACGGCCATTTCACGGTATGTAGAAGTCCCACAATTACAAACATTTTAAAAATCGAATTATGTCCCTTTTTAGAGCATAAAATCAGAAGAAAACGTAAGTATCTACAGAATGAGCAAAAGAACGAATATTTTTTAAAATGCTTTCCATGAGATAAAATTGGACATTTAGGGGCGCCGAAAATGAATCAGAAAAATTCATGCTATAAAAGTAGACATTTTTACAGAGTGTTGCTTTTGAATGCAGCCGGAAGGACTTTCTTTCGAAAGCCGGAACCCTGAGGTAACTAAAATATTATAGAAATATGTTGCAGACTGACTAGTTTTACAACACTACTTAATTAATATTTTCGAAATGAAAACGCATTTCGGAATTTCGATTGACATTTCGTGAGTAAGCTCACCTACTGTAGTCTCAGTAGACCTGCGCTGTGCTTACAACACTCTATCCTCCTACCCCACCTGAGCCCGGTGTGAAGACATAGTCAAGAAGACCGGAGACGGCGAAGGTCGCAGGTGGATGGCTCGGACGTATTCGCACCTTGACGCTCCACTCCGCACCCGCTGGTCCCCACGGGAGTTGGCCAGGTTTTTGACCATCACGAAGTGAGTGGAGGCTGGCACGGCCGAAGCAGCACCTAGGCGTGCCGCCAGCGCTCGGCTCGAAATCCACATAGTGGGAGCGCCATAGAGCGCATGTAAAGAAGGAGCCATTGAATGCTGACTCCCAGACCGCCAGCCGACCACTCCACATACACATACACACACAACATTGGACTGACTGCGAGGTCCATGTTATTCCGTCAGTTGACAACCTTTAAAGCCACGGCTTTTAGCGCATCGTGATAGCTCCAAGCTCGTCAGATTGTTTATAGTGTGGAATTTGTACTGAGTCGTCGACCTCACTCTTCCTTCCTATTCCCATGCCTCAGCCACTGTCCGGGCCGGTCAGCAGACTGGGGCGGGGAATGGGCTCGGTGGCTGGCATGGTCTGGTGTCCATGTCTGCACGCGCCACATGCACGACCTGGCCCTCCAGACACACACACACACGAGAATTTCACTCAACGAGGGTTGAGCGACGTACATCTCATATGCGTGAGAGGGCCGTGGAAGGTGCTGTTTCAACTTGTCACCCAGCCTACCAGTCCGCCACTCCACATAAACACGCACAACTGGACGGACTGCGTAAGCCGAGTGCGGGCGTCAATCAGCAGACTTCCTATCCACGGCGCTTGGCGCGTCGGGATAGACTGAGACGCGAGTCACCCGCGCATCAGGAGCCGCACGGAAACCGAGTAGAAAGGCACACTTCCCACTTGCGTCGGAGGTGGCAGTTGGATGCTTGCGGTGGGTGATTTTGATGTGTGGGGAGATGGTGGTGAGAGAGGGTGTGATGGTGTGGTGCAGCCGACGGTTGTCAACCGCAGGTTTTCGTGAATGCGCATGTGGCCGAATAGGCTCATGCGGTGCATGAATGTGCGAGGACAGTGTGGGCAGTAGAGGCGGATGCAGCTGGTGTAGGTAGGTGCTTCAGGCACTGGTTCGCCAGTCTCCTTGCGATGGATTCGCGAGTGACCGACTATGCCGATGCGTGGGGCGAATGTGCGGTTACAATAAGGACTGGTGTAATCCTGGCGCTCAACTCTGGTGTCGACGGGGGTGGTATTGATGTTTGAGGATATGACAGGATTGTATGCACTGTTGAGGTGCGTGGCAGGCGTCACAACGGCAGGCGTTAGAGCAGCGAAGGAGGAGGAGGACGATGGGCAGGAGGAGGAGCAGCAGCATCAGCAGCAACAGGAGGGCGGAAATGCTCGTTCAGGAGAGCGGTCAGAGTTAGTTGGCATTGTCGAGGAGTTGGACAGAGGAACGACGGTTAGTGGCGCAGTTGATCTGAAGGTGTCCAACAAGTCCAATTCGTGCCCGGAATGTCAGTTGACACCGTGGACACGTTGGAGGCGGCTGTGCGTTGGCATTGCGGGGTGGACGCAGCCGAAACTAGTGTGCTTTAAGTTTGAATTTGCGGCGCGATGAGGTCGGCTTCGTAGATCGCGGAGCCTGTCTTCACTGTCCTACTCCAGGTCGGTCGGTCCCAGGCGATATCTTCCCAGTTGGTCAAATTGATTTGCAGACGATTTAGGGAGGACTTCAGAGTATCCTTGTGTCGATGAATTTGACCTCATTGGCTGCGGGAACTCGTGGCGACTTCTCCGGCTTGGGTAGTTGATCGTCGTCCATCCGCATGAGATGGCCGCTTCATCGTAGCTGCGGTTGTCTCAACACGGTGTAGATGTTGAGGATCCCCGTCCGTTCCAGTAAATCAGCGTCGGGGATTCGGTCTTGCAACCTTAGCTTCAGTATGCAGCGAAGACAGCTGGGTGGAAGCGATTGCGTTGGCGTGCCTACTTCGTGTAAACCGTCTAAGTCTTAGATCCGAACAACAGCGTCGAGAGGATGACGGCCTTGTACATCTTCAGATTCATGCTAAGTTGGACACCAAGACGATTCCAAACTGTGATTTGAAGGCGAGCGAGGGCTTGACTGGCCTTCGAAATCTGGTGGGCGACTTCTTCGTCGATTTTCGTGCTGCGGGAGAGGGTACAGCACAGGTACGGGAAGTTCTCCACCACTTGCAGCTAAGTTACGTTCACGCTGATTTACGGCGCGTTGGGAGAAGTAGCTCTGTTGGGTGGCGGTAAATGCATGACCACCGTCTTCTGCGTGTTGATGATCAAACCGATGTTCTCGCAGGCGGCGTAGAATGGGTCCATGCTCCGTTGCATCTACTCTTCAGAGGTGGTGTTCAGGGCGCAATCTTCGACGAAGAGAAGCTCGTGAACGGTGGTCGTGGATACGCGCGATTGGAAGTGCATCCGCCGTTGATTGAGAAAGTGACCGTCCTGTAGGCGATGCGGATCCCGGGGCGTTCATTGCGGTAGGCGTCCGTCAGCATGTCAAAGACAGCTCCGCTTTCCGTGACTCGCGCCATCATGCCGTTTCGCAGCTACCGTACAATCTGAATGAATCGCTCGGGACAGCCGAATTTCTGCATGATCTTCCACCGTCCTTCACGATTTAGCGTGTCAAAGGCTTTCGTCAGGTCACCGAAGGTTGCGTTCAGGTGGGTCCGCATCTCCTGACACTTCTCCTTTAGCTAAAGAGCGGCGAAGCTCATACCTGTGATCCCGCGATGACGACGGAAACCACACTGACTTTCCGGTAGGATGCCCTTTTCTAGATAATTGTTCAGACGGTTGAGGAGGAAGCGAGTCAAGGTCTTCCCGGCGATGTTCAGCAAGGAGATGCCGCGGTGATTGTCGCAAAGTTGGCGGTTCCCTTTTCGCTTGTATAGATGCACGATTGTTGCGTCTTTGAAATTTTGCGGGACTTCACCTTGATGCCACATCGCCTGGAAAATCGCATTCAGGTGATTCATGAGTTGGGGGCCACCGTGCTTGTAGACCTCAGCAGGGGTCGCGGGCGTTCCGGGTTCTTTCCCAATGGAGAGTTGCTGCACGACCCTGATGGTTTCGTGGAGAGAGGGCGGGAGTTCGAGGTCCACGTTTGTCTCCACTTGCGGCAAGCGGGTTATGGCGGCGTCGGAGATGGCGGAGGAGCGGTTAAAGACGCCTCGGGAATGCTCAGCCCATTGCAGTAGAATTTGTGTCAGGAGGGTACTGCCATCGGCGCTGGGGAGAGTATCAGTGACTTTCGTTGGCGGATCGTAGACAGTTTTGATCGCGGAGAAGAAATTCTTCCATTTGTTGTAGTCCGCGTACCCTTGGATATCCTCAGCTTTGCAAGCCGTCCAGACGTCCTGCATCTCGCGCAGTCGTTGCTGAAGGTGGCGGCGACTGCGGTAGAAAGCAGATCTGTTGGCATCAGCGGGATGGTCTACGTAGGCTTTGTGGAGGCGGTTTTCCTCGGCGAGCAGATTTCTGATGGCGGCGTCGTTGTCGTCGAACCAGTCCTGGTATTGGCGGGTAGCGCGACCGAGGACGGCGAGCGCCGTCGACTGGACCGTGTCTCGCAGTTGGCACCAGCGTTTCTCCATGGAGGCTTTCTCTGCAGTGGCGGCGACGTCGTCGGCGGCAGCGATTGGAAGGTTGTCTAGCCGTTGAGCTAGCTCATTGCTGAAATGAAAATGGTGAGCGGGCAAAGGCAACAAGGCAACATTCAGCTTACCTGGGGGTCGCTTACCTTGTGGTCTCCTGCGAGGCTGTAAGCGCATACGCATCTTCGAGATGACGAGGCGATGGTCGGTCCACCCGTCAGCACCCGCGATCGCCTTCGTCACCAGCACGTCCGCTGATCTCGCCTCCGGACGAGGACATAGTCCCGCAGGTGCCACTGGCGCGACCGAGAATGCCTCCAGGTGGCCTTCTCTCGCTCCGGCAGACAAAAGAACGTGTTCGTCAGGATGAGGCGGTGTTCTGCGCAGGTGCGGAGAAGCAGCAGGCCATTGTCGTTTGAGCCGCGGAGACCGTGGGGACCCAGCACTCCTCTCCAGGCAGTGTGGTCTGTGCCGACGCGGGCGTTGAAGTCACCAAGGACAATCAACTTGTCCGCCTTCGACACAGTCGCCAAGAGGGCGTGCAGGTCCTCGTAGAATTTGTCACTGACGGCGTCGGGGTTGGTCATCGTCGGAGCGTAGGCGCTGATGATGGTGGCGAATTTGCCTCCTCGCCGGAGAGGCAGGCGGAGGCTCATCAGGCGATCGTTGATGCCCTGCGGCAAACAGGGCAGTCGTCCCACGATGTCGTTCCGAATGGCGAAGGCGACACCCGCGTCCCGTCGCTTTGCCCTGGGTCGACCGCTCCAGAAGAAGGTGTAGCCGGCACCCACCTCCTCCAGTTGGCCTTGTTCGGAGAAACGGGTCTTGCTGAGTGCGGCGATGTCCACCTTGTAGCGCGCCAGTTCTCGTGCCACTAGCGCCGTCCTCCGCTCCGGTCGGTTGCTCCTCGGATTGTCTAAAAGGGAACGAACATTCCAGGCTGCCAGAGTGAGCGCGCTCACCCTGCCAGTCTGGTGACAACGAGGCGGGCGACGGGAGGGAGATGGAGGAGAAGATGACGAAGGAGAAAAATGAGCAGAAGAATATGCAGCCGAAGAGGACGAAGAGGCAGGATGAGGAGGGGAGAGAGAGTATTGTTGTTATTGTTATTGTTGTCGTTGTTGGTTCGATTTTGATTGTATCGACCGCGAGTTTAACATCTGCGACTCCGAATAGCATGTAGACGACGTGGTGCCCTGCAATTTTTAGGCCACATTTTCTAGGCCTCCCGAAGGCAGGCAATGCCCCCTCTGAAAACGGCTGCCCATATGTGCCCTTATTCGCGGCCGGACTCCACTATGGGCCACGATTTCTGTTGGTAGTTGAGAACGACTCGAATTTGCCAATGGCTTACAACATCGCCGTAAGCCCACGGTCTCCGACAGCGTAGGTGGGCGCGTCTCCGCTATGTCGATGCGGAGATCCATCCCACAGGCCGACGAACGGCGGACCAGGCGGAGCCTGGTCTCAAAGGTGCCGACGCAGTGTTCCATCCGACCAACAATCCAACGGAGTCTGCAATAACTTGTGCACGCGGCACAGCGCGCACCGGGAGGAACCGCCCTCACCTGGTTTAGCTCGCCGGTCGAGGCGGTTGCCCGGTGTGTGGCCGTTGAGCAGAGCCCAGCTACGTGGAGCCACAGGTGATAGTTGGGTGCCAGCAAACGAACGCTATGCGTAGTCTCACCTGCAAGCAAGTGAGCGACCGCTACGATTATCACGCGAACTCAGTGCTGGACACCCCTTACACCTCCTCCCACACACATGCACACACGCACACACGACAGTTTGACCGTCGTTTCCAACGATGTTCGCCGTGTGCTTAACAACAAGGTGAGAGCAGGGACGATGACTCGCGCGTGAATTAGTTTACATTGATTATAGACTTCCGCTGCATCTACCGCACCCCTTCCTCCCCCACCGGGACATTGCGTCAAATCAGAGTCAAGGAGACCGGCGGCAGGGGAAAGCGCAAGTAGATGGCACGTCTGAGCCCGCACCTTGACGTTCCACTCCACACCCCCTGGTCCACAAAGCAAATGACTGGGATTTTGATCAGCAACAACAGTGCGCACGAAGACTGCTGACAACCGGGTCCTCCATCAAGCCCCGAAATGTTAGTATTTGTTACGGTGTGCGATCCGAGGACGCCTGCCAGAATCCCATATGGTCCCGTCTTGGTCCAGCGCATTTACGAAGTGGCCCGTTTTTGGGGCGCACACATACACACTTTGGACACCCTCATCTATTTTAGTCGGTCATGGTGGCGTGGAGACCGTGCCGTGCATGGCTCTTCTGGGCCCCATATGTAGATTGGATACCAGAAAAGGAATGATATGCAATTTTTCATTAAGCTCCCTGGTACCTTTGGCAAAGTTCGGGGGCTAATTACTCACAACACCTTACCACTTCTACTGTCTGTGTTAACGAGTGCAGGTTTTGTTGCCTCTACACCATTTTCGGGCATAAAAATGCCCGTCGGCGTATTCGTAGTAAATTGTCATCATGCGTGTGTTGTCCACATCGACGAACCGGGAATGACTGTACGGGTCCATCTATGGTTGCCGCATATAACACCTCACAAACCTCTGCATAATCTCATTGTTATCAGATGCCCTCTCGCAGAAGTTGTGGTTATTTCGGTTAAACATCAAGGTCCACCGAGCTTGTCGCGCGGTAAGATTACTTGTGCACTTTATTCTGAACAGCGTAGAGTCTTGATATTTCTCGCAACGGATGGAGGAAAATTGGGCAAACGCCCGTCTCCGTCACCGGTCACCAAACCATCAGAGACGGAAAGGGTATGCAGAAGGGTGCTGTCGACAATTCTCTCAACAAAACCAGGGCTTTCAGTCCCACCAACCGTAAAAACCGAACAAAAACTCAGAAAGGGAGAGAGAGAGGAATTTGCTTTACTTTGAAAGGATAAATCCAAAATTTTCAGCAGAAGGGGACCCTTTTCGCAAAATGTGATCACAAAAGGCGTCATGGCGAGTATTGAAGGAGCAAAGTGATTAAAGCCTAAAAGTTTAAGGGAACATAGATTCACGCGGTTAAAACCACTGCAGAAGGGAAAATGATGCTAGCAGGACGATAAGGCAAGTTTATCGAGAAGTAGTCGAAGGATGGACTAGAGCACCTTCATGTATGGAGGGGCAAATAAACGCCAAAAAATATAGTACACTTGAAGTTATTCAACAAACGGGGCTTGGCATCAACAACGATAACGTCTATCAACTCAGAGTGAGAAAGTAGGCAATTACAATTTCTACCCAAATTTTGGTTAAAAAAAGCAACCTCTTTACCTCTGCTATACGATGAAAATTTTCTACTGATTGGAAAGAAGCAGGAGGAAGGAAGAGTAAGTTATTGCGAATCAGTATTGCCACTTAACTACGTCTCCTGTAGACAAGCCACTCCAGTCCTACCGAGTTGATGTCTCAACAAAAGTAACTCCATATCTTGAGTATTTTGATGATCGAACGAGAGTTTGCCGACAGAAGGCCTGACGCTTGACTGAGAGTTACCGAACTTACCGGTGTCTTTCCCGGTGCATAGGTCTTATTGATGGATAGGTGATACCTTTAGCCCTGGAAGATCACAAATACGACTTATTGACTGAATGTGCAACAGTTGGCATCATGTAGAGTTGCCAGTGATTTTGTCGATTTAAGTTCCTTCAAAAAGATGATAGCGTACTGGTATGATGACCTTATAATCCCAGTTCAGACAAACAAATGATTGAAAAAATCCATATATCAGAGGAAAGTGGCGGAGTAATTGACAGTTTCGAAAGTTCACACTGAATGTAGTGGAAAAAATTACGTCTTAATTTTAAATGCCCGCCGGACTCATATAAAGCAGATCCATATCAGTTGTCGAATCACGAATTGCGAGACGCGAGGACAGTTCATGGAAGCATAGTTGCATTCGGCTAGGATGACCTTAGTAGACTGGTTTTTATGAGGTCACGTCAAAACTCCAGTCCACTAATTAAATTCACATATTTCGATAAAATTGAGGTCAACCTGACCAATATAGCTGCGAATAAATTAAGCGAAAGATTTGCAATGCCTACGAGTAGAAGGCAATTTGTACCGACTTGGGTAGTGAAAACTACATAAGGATAGCACATAATTGTAAAATTCCCTATATTAATGCATCTCGCAGTTGATCATCCTCAAAGATAGCAGTTTGCTCCGAACGTAAACATTTAGCTGCTCCTTTTCCGAAAATATCTGTTTATTCCCAAGGCAGTAGAAGTAGCAGACAATTGCCTTTCCTGCCGGATAGTAATAAAGTTTTCCTATTTTTATCATATTTTCATGATAGTGGAATAAAGGTCAGATGTTTGTATGTAGCCGCAACGGAGGTAAGCAAACCCCAGCCACCTGTAATACGGCACCGGTGGTGATAGAGGTTTTTACGGGTGTGGTTGGGGAATACACGGGCGACGAGGTCAAGTAGTTGTGTGCAAAATAAAAGCTATTGGGAATGTGAGGTTGTGCTTTGAATGGTAGAGAAATAGTTGCCACAAAACCGAACCCTAACCCCTAACCCTAACCCTTTAGCCTTAATGTTAACCCTTAAAATCAGTCCTAAACCCTAACTCTGAAAGATACAACGCGAAAATTAGAAGAAGCCGACATGTAAAAAGTCATGAACCACCACCGGCACTGGGCCAAAAAGAGGTAGACACGGCAACAAAAAACGGGCTGCCAACAGAACACGTATCGCAAAGCCCAGCAATACAACGCCAGCCTAATCACACCAACTCCAAATAATTAAGTAGGTCAACAGTACTGTCCACATCGGGTGCGGCTACATAATTACATCGTAACGAAAAAATAATGTTTAATATTTGTACTACCAAATAAAAATGAGTGATGCCACACGGACCCGCCGTCTCTTTCATATTCAGGTACCGTCGACGTCATAATTATAATTGTTTAAACTTTGAACCTGGCGTGTATAGTGCAGTGAGGCAATGACATCGACTGACTTATGTGGTCACGGAAGATCGTGACATGCACAAAGGAACTCAAGGTTAGCACTCGACCAACCCCGGAAAACTGACACGGGGAGAAATTTACTCATGGTTTAATCTCACAGCTCAGCCTGCTGCCGTACGGTTGAAAAACGTTCTGGATGTCTCTGTCAGTCAAAATCGAAACATAGTTTGTCATTGGTCATGATATCAGCACGTAGCACATAGTTTGTCCAAAGACATGCCAGTTCGACAGTCGCTAGTGGAAGCGTCCTCCACGGGCCCCACAGCGGGGTGGATGCAGAGCGGTGACCTGAGAAAGACGTCTACCGGATTCTCTTCTACCTCGTGCAGTGCTTCTCAATCTCTTGTAGAATCCGTACACGGCAAAAATGACTATTTAGGTAGCATAAATTTTTCAAAATGATTTTCGTTGGGCTTGCAAATTCAAATATATCTTATAGAAACCATAAACAAAAATATGCTTTCTTTCACTCGTTTGATAGCAAATCACGTCCTCTCTATATCTGTTAATCGAAAAAGGAATCTAATTAGTTTTTAGAAAATTTTCGACTTATGAGATTTTTTAAGACCCCCAATGTCCATTTACATGCCATCGTATCTGGCCGTTTACCACAGCTCCTCACGAAATGTACAACATATTCCGAATTCATTGCCTAATTTTATGGACTCTGTATGGCATCTCGTTAAAGAGATAGTACAATATGCGATGTTCCTTACGCGGAAGAAATAAACATGGTATACGGAGACCTCTAAGCGCTACTGTAACGACTGATTAGGATCCAAATTATTTGGAAATTAGAAAACTCTTTTAAAACATAATTATACTCCTTCTTCGAGTATAACATATAAAGAAGACGTGATTCTCTATCAAACGACTGAAAGAAGGCATATTCTGTTCACGATTTCTATGACATATTTTGAATTGGCAAGACCATCGAAAATCAACGGGAACAAGGCATGCTATAATAAGTAGTCATTTTTCACCTAATATGGTTTCTACGGGAGAATGAAAAGCTGTGTATGCAAGTGCTGACATCCTGCCGAGTCCGAATTATTCTAGGATTATGCTGCAAGATAATCAGTGTTACAAACGCGCCTAAGTAATCCTTCCTAATCGAAAACGCATCTCACAATTTCAGCCAGCATTTAATGAGTTAAGTAACGCACT